ACCCACCTTGTAGTCTTTATCAGATAAATTGCCTTCTGTCTCGATACATCGATCAAGAAATCGCTGTAATATATTTTAAGATAAAACGATAAAGTACTGGTTATCTATTACATCCATAAGGGTTATCAAAGGCTGCTGGCCCTTAGGGATTTGTTATAAACTTAAAGTTAAAATGAACAATTAGCTTCATCTACGTTCACCATTTTGAAATCTGTACATCAAAGATGTGTTCCTTGATTACAGACTCATTTACTCAGGGTTACCCTCATTCAGCGTCAGATTATTCACAAATACCAACAGTAAAGTAAAGAATACACACTTCAACAATACAAAGACTTTGAAATTCAACGTTTATCACTGAAACACATGAATATTCTACACAAAATCAAGGCTAGCCCTGAGCAAAYGAGAACTCGAAACTGGAATATTGTTTGTAGAAGTAGCATTCGGCCATGATGGCAGTCAACAGGGTCAAAATATACGGTGCAAAAAATATCAACAACATGTCAATTAGTACGTCTTTAGTACGTCTTTATGTAGACATACCTCTGCTACATTTGGAAGAGTTTGAACCAAAATATCCATTTGACTGTTATCCCCAAGGGGGGTGGGGTGAAGCACTTGTTGCCATCTGAAAAAAAAGTCACCAGCATGACATACAAGGATTGTTGCTGTAAGTAAAGTCGCGCTTTTCGTTGGGCATCAAAATAGGCTTCTTTAGTGCAATGTTTTCTTATTTCTGTGTCTTTCGTTAGAGTATCATCTCTTTGTTTAAGTGTTACGCCGATGAGAAAACATATGAATGTTAATGCAACTCAAACAAAGAATTTAATAGGYCGTTTGCATGATGGCGTGCAATTTACCACCACTTCCAAAATGCTCCGCGAATTTTCTTTCTTATTTAAATTTGTATTCCTTCATGAGAATAGTAAGGCAAAAGAAAGAAAGTGTGTAAAGGAGTCTGGAAGTGGTAGTAAATGAAGCTTTAATGCAAGTGACCTATCAATAGAATGAGACGTGGTCTGAAATAGTAATATATTACGTACGAGGCAAAGGTCAATACCTTTCGTGATCTGCTATCACCAAGGCAACGTTTTCCCACTTGTTCTCGATGGCCAGATCCAGAGCATTCATATCAGACGCATTGCACGTGATCATGAGCGAATCAATAGACAGTAAAAACTCGACGATATGCGCATGCCCAGCGGTGGCGGCAAGATTTAGAGCTGTATTCTGCATCAGAAAATAAATGCATGAGAAGAGTAGGTTTTAGATCAGAGTGATCTGTAAATTACCGTGCCCTGACCTAGAAGATCCCAGAGGTTGTTTCAGGGTTTGATTTATGAGTTAGCCCTGCCCTGTCTTAGATCAGCCCAGAGGTTGTTTCAGGGTTGGATCTGTGAGTTTACCATACCCTGACTTAGATCAGCCCAGAGGTTGTTTCAGGGCTTGATCTGTGAGTTAACCGTGCCTTGGCGTAGATCGACCCAGAGGTTGTGTCAGGGTTTGCGTCAAATACCTTGTTCTTGTCTAGATCGTTCAAGCACTTCGGATGAGCCTGCAACACCAGCTCCACGCATTTCAGGGATCCATTCCTTGCTGCATGATGTAATGGGTTTTGCTGTGACAAATCGCTAGTGGAAAATAAAAGCTATCAAACAAAAGTGACCATTCCCGGGTTGTCGGCAGGTGGGTGGTCGGTAGGTGGGTGGTCGGCCAGAAGGGTGGTTGGTTAGTGGATGGGTGGTAGGTGGGAGGTCAGTAGGTGAGAGGTCGGTAGGTGGGTGGTTGGTAGGTGGCTGGATGGTACGTCGGTGTTCAGTAGGTGGGAGGTCAGTAGGTGAGAGGTCGGTAGGTGGGTGGTTGGTTAGTGGATGGATGGTAGGTGGGAGATCAGTAGGTGGGAGGTCAGTAGGTGGGTAGGTGGTCGGTAGGTGGGTTGGATGTCAGGGGCTGCATAGTTGGTCGGCGGTAATCGGTTGATTGGATGTGGATGTCACAAAGGTGGAGGTGAACTTCGTAAAGTAACTCGTTCAGTTACTGGCCGGCGTTAGTTCCGCTCCCTTTTCATGTCGCTTGCTTACTGAAACCTATCAGTTAGATTCTCATTCTTACCCGTTTATCTCGGTTTCTGGTGCCAGCAGTTCAACCACCGATTCATTACCCTCGATGCAAGCGAGATGGAGGGCAGTACGCTTCTGTTTGTTTTTAGCGTTTAGAACGCGTTCATTCCTGTGCTCAACCTCAAGCATCAGTTGGACGATGTCAGAAAAACGGTCCCTGAAGAAGAGACAAAGAAGTTGCTTGAAACTCACTTACTAATCTACTTTTTTCTAGTTGACTCACCAATTCATTCATCCATGCATTTTCTCACACGCTGCACAATGGTGGATCATCACATCTTCACAGAATTTCACGCATATTTCTTAAATTTGCTTACTTTGCGGCCAAGTGAAGAGCGGTTTCGTCAGCTGTATCAGTCGTGACTTCAATAGAAGACGGATTGCAAGCGAGGAGTTGCATCGTATCCTTGTTAATGAAAAAAGAGAAGGTTAGTCGTATACGTAGACGTGAGGTGAGGTGAGAAGAGGACTGGTAATAAAGGACAGGACAGGACAGCACAAAAGAGGAGGAGAGGAGAGGAGAGGAGAGGAGAGGAGAGGAGAGGAGAGGAGAGAGCAGTTCATTAACCTTAAAGTTCCCTTGCTGTGTGGCGTAGTGTAACGGTGTTAATCCAAATACATCTTTCTCAGAAACCAGTGGAACCGCTTTTGGTTGCTGAAAAATAACGGAAGAAGATAACTTGATTTCTGATCCTTTAGAGTGCTCACACTAAATCCGTGAAACAAATACACCTTTTGCCGTTCATTAACAGAAAATGTACATTCATTTGTGCCAATAGTTGTATCAATAACGTGTAATGTACTTTCATCAACACCAMAAGTAACATCATTAGCGCGGATCAACTTTCAATAATTAAGGAATGGATCATAAGTAGCGTGCATCCATCGAGTTATGGATGCACGCGGGAGGTTGCTAAGCACGAAGAAAAGCGTAAGAGTTGCACGACGCGAAGCGGAGTGCAACTCTAGCTTTTTTGAGTGCTTAAGCAACCTCCCAAGTGCATCCATAACTCGATGGACGCACAGCTACTTATGATCCATTGCTTTTATAATATAGTCAAGTCAACAAACAAGAAATAAATACGAATTATAGACTGTATTTGTTGATCATGCCCTAAATTCTCCTTACGCACCTTGAGTGAATGAAAAGCACAAAGGCGCCAAAAACAGAAAAACAGTCGTTTTGAAAATGGCAGCTTTACACTGAAGACAGTTATGACTACAATAATGGCAAAAATTTAGCTTACAAGTGAAT